CTTTCCTGAAGGCCATGAGGGAGGGGGCACACCGGATCTCAGGAGGCAGGATGTTCCATAGAGCGGGAGCTGCAGCAGAAAAGGCTCTCTGCCTAGACCTAGGAGAGTTTTCTATACCATTCTTTAAAGAAAGGAACTATATCCTCTTCCAGCCCACATGAACTGATCCTTGCACAAACGACAAATTATCAAGACATCAATACAGACACAAATACAAAGGTTTCAATATTTCTGTATTAAAGTGCAATTCAAAAATAATATAAACAGAGTTAACTTTAGTTATGGAAAACATTTATGCCTTTGTGTTCAGAATGAAAGCATTTATTAGAAAAAAGTTTATTTCATATTTTTTACCGAGTAATAAGTTCAATTACTAAAGGGAAAATAGACAAGTATCCATGACACATACCAGTATGTCTTGAGTTTTTCTTTGTGAAGTACAGCCCTAGCATCAAGGAGGGAAGAACGGATTTCCTAAATGCAAATTGTATTCTCCACTATATTAGTGGAACAATAGTTCTTTTAAGAACAAATATAAGAGGAATATACATATGAAAAGTCATTATTAAATGCTTAAAACAACCCAGAATATTGGTTGCTTCTTTGTAGCTCATGGACAAAACCTATTTTTAGTTTTCTCTATTTCAAATTCAAATTCAAGCCATCTCTTCCAATACTATTTAATTGCAGAAATCTTATCAAACATGGTTTCTTATTCATGTATGGAGTTTTAATATTTTTGCTACCTCACTATCCCTGGTCTAATGCTTTCTCTCAATGGTGTAGTTCGGCTAAATCTGTACAGAAGCCTAACAGAGAGAAATTGCTTCAATATTCATGTCAGGACTTTACTAATGTAGTTGTTCATTCCCATTTTCTGTAGCAGAAAAAAGTATTTTCCTTTTAGATACAATATTCTGTGTTATATAGCTGCTACTAGTTAGAAATGAACTGATTTCCAGGAGATCAAAGATTTTGAGTCCTGTTCCTAGAATAATGAATGCCTGTTTATTGCTCTTACTTCTGGACCAGATATTATTACACTGTTTGCTTAATTATATTTTATTTTAGTCCTCTTGAATCCAGCTAGCTATAAAGCCATATCTTTGGTTCCAGTTCACATAAATGGTTTCAACTCTAGTTTCCTTTCTGCTGTATGGTCAGGGCAGACAGATACTCTGGGCTAATTTGAATAAGACTCACTGCCCTACTCTTACACCAGACAGAAGACATTTTAAAGACACAGGTCCTGCAGCCAAATTGAAAGCAGAGAAACCTGCTGTGCAGTTCTTCAGATGCACATACAGCGAGACTATCTCTACCTGGCATCCTTCCAGAAGGATAAAGTAGTGATGCTACAGAAAGTGGAGATAAATCTTTACAGCACAGCTGTATGTGGCACGATATCTAAAAACCAGAAGGCAGCAACAATTACTGAGAAGAAAAGGTAGGAATTGATTAATCTTTTGTATCTCCTTCCTGTCATCCCTTCCTCTTTAGCTGTCAATTTCTAGAAATCAGTGGAAAGCTTTTTTCAATTCTAGAGATAGAGGTGTCTGAAAATTCCCTGTTATGCATTAATCTGCATGGAGTGAAAATACCACGCAGATACCAATGGTATTAAACAGATATGCAGAAAAACAGAATGCTCCTTCATGAATATCTGTGTCACATTACTAAAGTGTTTTGTTTATACATAAAGTTTGAATATTTCATCCCTGCATAAGTGAAGTTGCTTTATATGTATTTTATAGCTCACCTTTCCCTCCAAATTAAGGACTAAAACAGTCACGGCAGTCCTATTCTAGCCTCAGGACAAAAAGCACTTAGTTAGGAAAGTACTGCTGTCACCGCTCTTTTGTATTGCCATGCTGAAAGTTTAACAGCAGGTGTAACATCGTCCAATACTATGCATGCTACCGACACAGGATGGCCTAGAGATAAAAAAAAGCAAGAGGCAGCAGCAATGGCAAAGTCTTCAAAGTCAAGAAACATGAGAAGGTGGTGCTTGGGCTCCTGTTAGTTGTTCTTCTTTTCCTCAGGTGGTGCATAAGGAGGTGGTTGATCCTAAAAGGAAAATCGTATTTAATTGACACATTCCTACTTAACATACAGCACATTTGAGTTTTATTCATTTTCATAATTTCTGCCCGCTATTAAAATATCTCAGAGTTCTTAAAATTTAAGTCAATATTAAATTAAGACATCCCAGTGCAGTCCCTTATGTGATCTGTAACAAGATGGACAACTATAATGAGGGACTTCAAGCCACAAGATTTCTTGTTCTTCACATCTTTATAAGGGAAGTTCAGTGCTACCCAGTAATATGTGGTTATGCGAAGACCTAGCTCTCTTGAGAAGGCTCTAATGCTGGGAGAGGTGGAAAGAAAGAGAAGAAGAGGACAGCCAGCAGCAAGGTGGATGGACTCAGTTACAGTGGTGATGGGTGTGCCATTGGAAGACCTAAAGACCAGGTTAGGGACAGATGATCATGGTGAAAATCTTTCTACCTGGTTGTTAAGAGTCAACAACAACTTGATGGCACATAATCAGTCAATTTTATCTATAATCGATGGGATCAGATGGGATAGAAACAGACAATGAAACATGGATACCGCTGCTTCATTTAAAAAAAAAAGGAGAGGAACACCCTAAAATTAATACAGTAAATAACAATACATGGACACTCTATCTATCTATCTATCTATCTATCTATCTATCTATCTATCTATCTATCTATCTATCTATATCACCTCATTTTCTCTAGAATTCAAAGCTTCCCAGTATTACTATGCTTGTACAGTAGAAAGCAAAAATGCCAGGTGTTCTTACTTTAATGTAAAAATTATGTTCAGTGTAAACAGCTGCAGATTTTATTTAGCTAAATGCCAGAACAGCAAAAATTTTAGAACCACAAAACCAAATCTGCTCCTCCGCTGTGCTACAGAATATCTATTCTCATTTGGTGGTTGAACCAAGTATTACAACTGAGAATTGGGTAGTTTAGACACAACTAAATTAACACAACAGAGGATTAGTCCATAACAGAACTCATTACTTATTTCTCAGAAATTCCTCTCCTAATTTTTCAAGACAAGATGGTCTACCTAAAAAAAGGATGGACAATCACTACTCCCTTGGCCCCACCTTCTGCCACAAAATTCTAGAGCAATTCCTTACCATAGGCATGTAAACATTATGAGGATTGGCTGGGTTATAATAAGCACTGGAAGTTGCCTCTGCTGCTTTATTGGCACCTACAAAAAAGAAAAAAGGCAGGCAGAACTTTTAAAACAAATGCAAACACTATTCACATTCACAAATGCTGTCTAGTGCCTTCCCATGATTTTCTAGATAAAATGAAAGTGCAGATTTGTAGCCTGAATAAGGAAGAATCTGGACAAGGCTAAGTACTCAAAATTTTTTAGACATGTTAACCACATATATTTTGGGGAGGCAAGAGACAGAAGATTCCACAATGATCAGAGACTGAGATCAAGAAGTGTCAGCTAACTGTATCTCAACAATTAGCGTATCAAACAGAGTATATAATTTATAAAACAGAATCTGGTCATATTTTTACAAGCAGGGGTCACACTCTTCCCCCCTTTATTATTCTTTAGGCAGCTAATGCCCATAGGTGGAATGGCACTGATGACCCAGGAAGGGATGGGGCCAGAATTTCCTACTTGGGTTTTTTCCAGGACAGGGTGGAGGGGGGAGTACCCAAAATAAGGAAGTAGTAAGCCTACCAGAGGCTTAACACCAAATTCCAGTAGCACAACCCTGCAGAGTTTCTAAGTACAAAGTTGGGACTGGGGGCTGCTGGGGGCTCTTGCAACTCATCTTGAGAGTTTATGTTTAAGATAGGGGTGTTTCAAAGAACAGGATATTTGCTTAATCAGAAGAAAACAACTTGGTTAAAACAACATGACAATAATTGCTCCTCAAATAACTTACTTAAAACCCAGAAAATAATAACTAAGAGCACAATGCAACTGATCCAGTTCTAAGCGAAAGCAATCCTGTATTCTTACCTGACATTCCGGGTTCTGTCCAGGTCCTAGGAGCTAAAGGTCCTGGTTCAGTGGGAGCTGAAGGTCCGGCAGCAGAAGGGCCAGGATATGGGGGAGGAGGTGCCATGTACATAGAGTTCATCCCAGGAGGTGGTGGATACACACCTAAAGAAAGAAAATGTATATATGTACAAACATATCACAGATGTATTTACAGTATGCTGGTGCAGGTTCACATGGACTATTTTCTTTCATTTCACCTTTTTCTTTAAAAATCAATCAGGAAGTCTTTTCCAAATCGTTTACATGTTCAAAGAGAGATGACTACTGTTCAATCTGTATGCTTGTGCTGATCCTGCAACTGTTCCTCTTGATGTATAATATAATATATAGGACAGCAGCAGAATCATTTGTGGAGAATGGATGTGGTAAACAGCATACCCAATACCTGAAGCTATGAGCCACAGAGACAAGCCTTAATTCTATCTTTAGTACAGGTAATCCCATTCAAAATGAATATATTCAATCATAATCCTTTTCACAGTGGCAGCTCTATAATGTTGCTATTCATATTTCCTAGATCTGGCTAATTTTTTCAGTCATTTCATTTACATGGAATAGTTATCTATTTTATAGTTCTATAGTACATTTTATAGACAAACATTATATAGGTCTGATATTTGATTGTTTAAAAACATTTTATACGCTAAATGAAGAGGAAAAAAAAGGAACAAGAATTTAAAAACCCACAAAACTTATCTTAGATAATAAACAAAAAGAGACAGCTCAGTTCTGAATAACAATATTTTATAAAGATGGTTAAAAATTCACCTGGAGGAAGTGCATATGGATATCCCATAGGCTGTGGAGCAACTCCATACCCATTCATTTGTGCAGGCATATAAATATATGCTCCAGAAGCTGGCTGTGACACAACGTAGCTCCCCGGTGGAGGTACATAAGCACCAGGAAAAGGTGGTGGTGCATACCCATAGCCGAAACTCTGAACTGGGACTCCCCTAGAGGCTAAACACAGTATATTTAATAAGCCAAATTCAGCACATGAAACCTTGGAATTTAAATAATTATGTCTTAAATCAATTAAAATTATACGGAATTTAAGCAAATTATCTGATTAGTTCACCCATCATGCTCGTTATGTTTTTGCAGGTAATGCACTCCAAGCAAGATTATGAAATTAAGCAAACTAGAGAGTACAGCTTCTGGGCCGTTTACCTGCAGTGGTCACTGGAAGCGTCTATATTTTCTTCTAAGTAACAAAATGTGTTTATATGCATGCATGGAAGCACAGGGGAGGCTGTGTATTCTCCCCTCTGGGCCATGTGACTGGAAGAAGAGAGGGGGCTTAGAATGGAACAGGCAGCATTCCAAGTCACTGCCCAACACCCATTTGCCTTTGCCATAGGGATACGATGGGGATATTTTTCCATAATGTTTTTCTCCACAGCTGCCAACCTAATCCAACCCATTCTTGAACTCAAGTCTTTATTTTGCCTGCTTCTCTGGACTCATTCTATTCAGAGAGTTATCCTGCTGATAGACAGATAGGGTCCAAGGCTCTTTACATAGTTTTTCTTCAACGTTCTGTTGGGTTGGAAATAATGTAATAAAAAACATGTAATGGAGGTGGGAATAGCAGCATTTAGGACTGACCTTACATTAGGGTTTAAGTATGACTGAAGAACTATCAGCAGGTACATCTGTCAAGTATTACCATCAGAAGCAGAAATCAACTCCAGAATGATCTGCCTCGGATGGAGGGAAGTGAGAAGGAAGTCTTACCATCACTTGCAAGCTTGAACATCATTTGTCCAAACTCTATGGCACCTCCACTGAAGAAGCTCATTTTAAATGAAGCCTGACCTTCCCAGCCACCTAAGAAAAAAATTATGTTAAAAGTCTTAATTATGGCAGCTTCCGAAAAGGTTTTTAAGACAAAAACAGGGATAAATTGAACATGATTTGACTTCAATCAACAGTTTACAAGGTAAGTTCAGAAATAGCTTCAACAAATAGTACCATAATAGAGTATCCTATCAGGCACACAATGAAGCAGCAAACACATGCCAATCAAAGAACTACCAGAAGAGCAAAACAAAACCCCCACCCTTACCAGCACTGGCAAGGCAGGCCACAGTACATAAACAGAGAGCAAATTCCATCCCATTTTAGCACTGAAGTTGTTACCTAGCTGGGTAATGAAATGTTTGCAAGAAAAGAACCAAGCTCAGAGAACCCCAAGGACTTCACAACTATCTCATTTTTGGCAGCCGCAGGTCCCTCAACATTGTATTACTGAAATCCAGAGATGAGCTACCAACTTTCAATAGGCGTATTAAGCCTCTGGTAGGATTAGCCTACCTATGTTATTAAAGAACCCTTTAAACTCAAGTAAAAAGGGCCAAAACCTCACCGTCTTTACCAAAGCTGTGGGATGGGAGGAAGATTGCCGAATAACCCTAACTTCACTGTATATCCCATCTTTTCACAGAGGAAGGAGTATTAGGCATGTTCATCACCTTGAGTTATTTGTAAAAATAATAAAGGCAAGATAATAAAATCTAAAAAAAAAATGTCTTTAAAAATAAGTTTTCAAAATAAAATCCAGTTTTACTTTTTTTCCCCAAATCAAGTTAGAGTGAATTGTGAAATTTCTCATAAAGTATTGAATGAAGGATAGCAGACATAACACTCAGCTATCAAAAAGTTCCATTACTGGTTTGTTTGTTTGTTTATTAAATTTGTCCCCACCCATCTCCCCCAAATGGGGGACTCTGGGCAGCTCACAACTCATTAAAAACAATAAATAAATATACAA